CCCCCCCCCCCCCCCCCCCCGCACTCTTTGCGAGCATGTCGGTCCAGTCCCGTGTCGCTAGCGTGGAGGAATTGCTCAGGGAGCGCGCAACATTGCTTCAAGATTTAAAGATGCACTTGTCTAAGATGCAGTAGCGCATGCGATCTCGAGTAAATCAACATCGGTGGGAGGTCTCTTACAATGTTGGCGATTTGGTTTTATTTAAGCTTTAGCCCTACCATCAACATTCCGTCGCTCGCCCGCTCTCTGCCAAACTCGCTTGCCGCTTTTATGGACCCTTCAAGGTTATCGAGCAGGTGGGTCTAGTTGTTTATCGCCTGCAATTACCGGAGGGGAGCCAAATCCATGATGTTTTTCACGTCTCTTTGCTCCAATCGTTCGTTCAGCGGGATCACCCAGTCCAAAGTGCAGCTCTACCCGCTGCGTTCTTGAAGGGACGGCCCATCTCAGTCCCTGTGGCAGTGCTGGATCAACGCATCGTGCTAGTGGTTATTTCGATGGCTCCGATGTTGATGCTACCTGGGAACCTACCGTGGCACTACAGGAACAATTTCCCACTCTCCGCCTTGAGGACAAGGCGACTTCCGTGGGCGGGGGAGTTGATACTGTACAGGAGGATGTGGATGATCCGAACATTAACCCGACACATACACGTCCAAGAAGGAACGTCGGGCCACCCCAATGATACCGAGATTATGTTTAATACCTTCTTAATATTTTAATATTTTGTAATCTAGATTTTTACTAGGTGAGCGATTTATAAGCTCTTTCGAGGGTTTCTTTTCGGTTCTTTACCTCGATGCTTTTTTTGAACCGACAGGATAGCAAACTAGTTTAATTAGGAATGGGGAAACCCTAACTTCTATTTAAAGGGGGTGTTTACCCTTGCCAATAATAAGAAACTAATTATTCCCCAAAACCTTAACCTCTTTTCTCTCTTCCCTCTCCCGTAACTCCCCTTGCCGCACAAAGTGTTGTGGGTCCAGCCCATTTTATTTGGGTTCCATTTTTCTTTGGTGGAGGGCCCAATTGTGTTTTTACTTTGTTGACTAAAAAAAAGGAGAGTAAAAAAAAGGGGCTGGGCAGTGGTGCACTTACGGACAGAGCAGAAAAGAAAAAAAAACAGAATAGAGAGAGGAAAGGTGCTGGTGCAGAATTTACAGACCAGCCGCACAAATTCGATCATCTCAGGAGATCCGACCGTTGGATTGAGCTGAAATTTTCAGAGGTTGTTCCCAACACTTAGGGCTTCAATCTGTTCAATTTTCACTTCAATCGGAGCTACGGATCTTCTGTAATCGCAGCTGGTGCGACGCTGCGTTTTTGGGTGATAATCCTGATTTTCCTTCTCTATTGTTGGTGCCTCTTATGTATGTTGTTGTTGGTGGGCTGTGACATCCTTGTAGACTGAGTTTGGGTGTTTTTACCCTCAATTTGCATAATAAGAGAAGAAGAGGGCGGACTCCCTATAAGTCCCGTGGTTTTTATCCTTCACATCGAAGGGGTTTTCCACGTATAAAAATCGTGTGTCGTTTGCATCTTTATTCTTCATATTTGATTGTGGTTTATTTGATGTGCTGCTGATTTTGTGTGCTTGGTTAATCAATTGTGGTAAATTGGGTCAAGTGTTTGGTTGGTTGTCTTGAAGTTGATCCTTGTAGGTGCATCCTACTTGTTGCTTCTCTCCCAACACAAAGGCGGCACCTTCTCCTTCTTCGCCAACTGATCCCCGCGGAAGTCGGGTATCAGGAATTAACCTAACTAACACCTCGTACTAAAATATATATTCAGTAGCTAGTTTCTCTACTCCCTCCACCTAATAATTTCTTGCCTGCTTTAATTTACACACACTTTAAGAAAAGTTGAATGTGTCTTAACTTTCCAATAATAATGCTTTGTTGACCTAGAATGGAGGGGGCATAGATCGGGATGGTTCGGATTTTAGGTTGTCTCACGTCTTGTCTCATTATATATAAATGGTTCGGATTACAATCTTATCCCGGTTTGTCCCACAAAATTCAGAATCCGAATAAACCAGGATGGATTCGGGTCTTCCTACTTTGTCCTAATCGCCAATATAAGAAGGGGGAGAGGGTGACATTTCATTCAAAAAAGAAACATCTAGTTATCCAACAAAAAACAATGAGTGAAGCAAACGTCCCAGCAAATATGGGCATGTTTTGACGTTTATCCATACGTCCAAGTCTTTTAACGTTTTGGACTCCATTTTCAAAAAACTGAAGGATTTGTATGAAGCAATAATGTCAAAAAATTACAAAGCTGTTGGCCAGGGGCTGCCACCCCCTGGACCTAGCTATCGAGGACTGCCACTCTCGGACTCGCTATGAATTTGTAATATCATTGAACGAGTATGCAATGCGTACATCCTAACTTGTTTGACAACGTCTATTCACATTCTTGTTTGATCTAAGTAAACCCAATTATATAAAATATTAGATGACACTAAAATCACCAACTATAAGTGTCTAAATAAGTATTTAATTTTTGCATTAAATTACTCCTTTGTCAAAGTTTTGAGAATAACTTTATCGATTAAATGTTGTGCCCATTACAAATAACAACTGTAAATTTACTTTAAAGAATAAAAGCAGTTGGAGGTATGATATGTGTTGCCTTTACTTGTTTTTCTATCACAATTCCTCTTGCCCTTAAACATTCCACTCCTAGTTAGATGCCTCAACGAATTTCAATTGTCACCAAAAAAAATTGTTTTGTTACCTGACAAATGATGAATTCAATGTTATCCAAAATTAATGATTCATTGTTTTCCAATAATTTTAAAATATAAAAGGGAATAAAATAAATTTTGGGGATGTTTGCTTCATTTTTGAATTATACATGTGCACCTAAATATACAAGTCTTTTTTACTTCAAATTATAGTGTGTGAGTTTCATGTTTAAGAGTCATTGCCATGCTTAAAATGATTCAACGCCTCGGTTCATGTGACATTGAAACTCAATGTCATAAGATGACTCGGGACTCCTACGGTACTCTGTTTGAAAAATTGATGGTTCCTATCTCCTAACCCCCTGAGCCTCTTGCATCCCAACACGAGAGTTAGGGTGGGGTGCAGGGGGATTTCATGTTCGAAGTGCCCATTCTCATTTTGTGTATTCTACTTCTCGGAGAGACCACATTCCTAACTTTTCCCTTGAAGGTTGTGCAGTTACCATCCTTTGTATTATTGTGTATGCTTTTGGTTGGTGTTGTAAAAAGCTTGGGGGACTTCATTTATTTTAACTACGGTGAGTGGAGCAGTAAATATGCTTAGTGGGAGCGGTTTATTACTAATAACTTAAATTTTATTGACTAATTGAATTATATAAGTGGCGTGCATTTACATAAATTAAATATATTTGAATTAATTAAATACAATTAATGCAGGTTAACATTATAACCACCCCACATTTGCTGATTTTTCAAGTGTAGCCCTTCAGCAAGCATTTTACAGCATGAATCAAGCTTCTAGACTATGAAATGGAAATGGAGAATCAATTTTCATCATCAGAATCAAACGTTTGTCTTCTCCTCAGAGACTCTATCACAGCCGCAGACCGTCCTCCTCGCCTTTCCGTGGAGAAGGACTTGAGCTTAGGTGCCCTCATTGCACTGAGTGGCGGCGTTGCAGCCCCGTGATTCACGTCCCTCAGCACAGACTGGGCAACAGCTGCTGCTGTTGCATCGGCCATAGCCGAAGCAACCTTTGCATCATCACGGTGCAGCTTTCCCTTTCCCTTCACTCCACTCTTCAATATGTTGGAACAAGGACCCTTGGGATCACGCGTAGCGGTCGCAACAGCCTCAGCAGCTGTAGCTTTAGACTTCATTGTCTCGTATTTTTGCATGTCGTATATGAGCTCTTTCTGGAGCTGCTTATCAGCAACTAATATTTCATCAATCTCGTTCTTGTAATCCTTGAGAAGGGCACGGAGGCATTCCATGAGAGACCCTATGAGGGAGCTGTTTTTGCTCTCAAGTAGACGCTTTAGCTCGATGAAGATGGGAATGGTGTTCTGTATAAGCCCTTTCTTGACAGCTTGAGTTATGGCATTTCCCCTGGCAGCTACTGCAGATCCACTGTTTCCTGCTTCTTCGTCTATGTCAGCCGAGTCAGAAGACATCCCACGGCTGGTTGAGATTCGGATTTCTTTGCACGACAGGATTTGGAATGCATCCTGCATGCTTGAAACTTAGTTAACATTTTGCAAAAAAAAAAAAAGAGAAGAAGAAGAGAGATTAGATTTGGATTTCCATCTTTTGTTCTTTTGAGGTGGGCATGGAGATAAAGTGGTAAGTAGTATACCTGCAGAACAGACTGTCCAGTAGAGTCATCTATATTGAGCATACCATCAGATGCAGCAGCAAGAATCTCTGCACACACTTTAGCAAATGTTGCTAAAAGATGTTCTGAAGCCATCTGTTTAAGCAAAGTCGCATAAATGTGCATTCTTGAAGACCTCGACTCTGCATCATTTCCTCTAACAGATATAATGCCATAAGTTAACACTTTTATCCCATCAAAAACATGTGCAAATCTGTTAAAAAATGAAAAACTACATGTAGGTACTCACCTAATCGAGAAAAGATGTGTTTCATTTCTTGAGCTCTGGGAGTTACTAGATCCAGTATGAGCATTGCAGTCATTCAGGGCATATATAGCTTCCACAAAGCTATTGTAGGCCAAAAGTGGTGCCTTTACTGTGAGCCAAAAATACGCATCATAATTCTGACATTAGACACCTGCTTGTTTGGATTATGCACTGAAAAACACACCTTTTAAGATGTTGCCAAAAAGGAAATCAGACAGCTGTCTTATCTTCTCAGATTCATCAACGAGAGAGAGCAAAAACCGCAGAAAAAGAACTCCTCTCCACTTCACATAATCCCTCTGAGATCAAGTCAAATGACAATGGAAATCATCAAGTATAGCAACTACGTATAATTTTAAATTTATTTGTTGGGTTAACTAAAATCAACATACTCAGCATGCTTGGGACACTTTTTATTTTAAGAAAAACATATATACAATGAGAAGTAGCTTTTTTGTTCAAAGATGATTCTGTTTTTTTAGGAAAAAAAAAGTTCTAAATAAGAATTTTGTGATTGGGGGAGCAGCATACATTGTTTCACAGGCGCTTCAAATGAAGAATATAAAGGTTAAATGCACGACATTAAGAAATCACCTGTAATAGTCTTGCAAGAAGTATAAATGTCTGACGTCTAACTAATTCGCATGGATCCCGTAGACATTTGGTTATCTTTGAGAGATAACTATAAGAATACCAACATGTAAAACATTTAATACCAAAAAAAGAAGTTTTAAAAACTGAGTCTTTCAAATACATCTATAAATATATGGAACAATATGGCCCTTACCAGTCCACTAGAGCTGTGTGTCGGACACAAAAATCTGCCATCACTACAACTATGTTGTTACGGAGAGCAGCACAGTCACTCTTCTCAAGCTCCTAGAATGACGTTTATATGGAAAATAGTAAAAGTGTCAACTGTCTTGCAGACTATGATTGTCAATTTGTTCACACAATGTCACATGGATAACTCTCAACCAATGAATATATTCATTCATACATTAATACAAAAGTGCACTTTGATTGATCACTAGCGCTTTGGTGAGTACCTGGACGAACAGAGGAATGTAACGTTTTGCAAGTTTACCATCTGCAAGACAGATCTTGCCCATGGTTACCCAAGCTTGAACATACAAAGACGGAGCAGTCTGCTTGATAGAAACTGAAGGCCCCAGTAATTTCTTAGCTCTTGCGTCAGTACCATCTGAAGTGATTATTGTGTGTAGAACTGGAATTATGGATTTCAAGTCAGCCGAAGGGCAAATGATAACAAGACTTCCCAATGTGTGAACAGCAGTCACTGTTCGTGATAGTAATGCAGATGATGCAGCAGTTCCTTTCCCCTTTCCATTTATAAATCTTTGTGGTGTACGAAATGCACTATCTTCATTGGTTTCTTTGTTCTTTGACATATAAAGATCAAGAATTTCAGATACTTTGGAGAGAAGCTGTTGAACCCATTTTGTAACAAGGGAATCAGCCTCCCCAGGATTCATAGCCTTTCGCTTGCACAGTGTTCTAAGTGCTTTCACATGAGCATCAACCTGGGAGAACAATGTCACAACCACAAAAACAAAAACATTAACAGCAACAACAACCACAACAACAATTATTATTATTATTATTATTATTATTTATTTTTATAATAATAACAGAAAGTACATCTTCTGTGAAATTGCAACATTGCACTATGTTGAACACAATTACACAGGTATTGATTAATTTGGAAGATAAAATAAAATAGAAAAATGTAAATACAGCAGCATTCAACTATATACATTTTATTCAAGAATGACTAATCCAACTACAGTTCGTTCCAAATGAAGCTATACAAGTCATCATCGACAACGTTTTAGCTCTGGACAATTCCTACTTCCTAGATTAAATCAAAACGGCACATTAAACTTCCTTTGTTTTTTACTTCCTATGAAATTTTGTGTACTAAAAGCATCATTACATATGGGGCCTCACAGAAAAACATGTCTCTTTTTTATAGGAGTAAGGCTGCATACATCTTGACCCCAAACCCAAAAGGAGTTGGGATTATATCGGTTCTGTTGTTGCTTCTGCTGTTCTTGTAATGACTTATCCAACTAATATTTTTGACATAAACCATTATTCAGATGCAAGAGTGCAAGGTCATTAGCCACCAAGGACAATTTCTTCAGTGATGGATGTTTTTACGTATATTTTAAAACTTGCCCCAACATGACTAGTCAAAGCTGCGCAGAATAATATTCAATTACCTTCCCTAGTTTTACAATAGAATCTAAGGCAGAACTGAGAAGATTATCAGAGCAATTGGATCAAGTCCTTTACATAATGCATTCACTGTGAAGATTATTTCATACGTAGTATTTATTTTTTCTAGCAGAGGGATGAGCGGGTGTGGATCAGAAGAACTAGGGAACAATACACAATAGTCCATACCTCTGTTGAATGCATACTGAACTGCTCTAAACGAGTGAGAAGATTATGGGCCAGGTCAGCTGCAGGTTCTGCAGGGAGCTCCACTGCCACATTTGAGATTGTTTGCAAAAGGAAAACTCGGTCTCCAGCCCACGTAACAGAACTTAGTTCTGTATCAAAGTCCTCACAGTTCAAATCACACTGTACAAACTGGTTTTCAGCATTATTCTTAGGTTTATACTTATCAAGAAGCTGCCAATGGTGATGAAGGAACTCCCACTCAACAGCTCGAGGCAGGAATACGGACACCTCTGATAAAAGAAACCATGAACCCAAAGGTGCAGTCCACTTCTCTATTGGCATTGAACGGCTTAAGCATAGTGATTCAGATGTCCTTATGATGTTTTGAAGTGCTATAGCAATCTTAGGTTTGAGTTTCTTTTTCTTTCCTAAACTTGCACAAATTTTCTTTACCCATGGTGTCACCTCGCTATTACAGATCTCCTTCAAAAGATATAGAACTCCACCATGATATAGTTGTTCCATTTCCATGTCTGAGGTTTTAGAACTTCCACTGAAGTCTGGAGAATTATGTATTTGGGTTGGAGGACGGCTGGATCCAACTTGCGCGATTCGATCAAGAACCAATTCAAGGAACAAGTTTTCACATTCTTCCTGGATGCTGGTTTCATTATCAGTTATTAGACGCGGAACTGAATGAATCCACTCGTTTGTTACAAAATCTCTTGAACCCAATCTAAAAGCCTGCAAAAAGAGAACTTCATATGAAAAGAAAACAAAAATGTGATTGATTTAGAATTTAGATGGCTGACTTAGCTGATCACTGATTATGTTTGAACTTGAAATGTAGAATTATAGAAAAAATACATCAAGAAGAAACGAAAAGGGATTGAAAATCACAGCATTAACTGCAGTACAAAAGAATTGGTGCCACAACTTCTTAGCAAGCTGAAACTAGCATAATCAGACATTAGTTCAAATTTTCCCAAAAATGGAACACAAAACAGTGATTTGTTTAGCATATTGTTTGTTTAGTTATTCTGTTCCCAATCATTTATGAAAAACGAAAATTGTTTTCCCTTCAACAAAACATTATTGTTCAATCTTCAAAGACCTCCTCAAGAAATTGACTCTCATTATTCCCCTGAAAGAATTTAGATTCTATAGTTTAATAATTTATGATGATATAAGAATCCAAATTTAAAAGAATTGTCGACCTTAAAAAGTAAGAAAGAGAGACATGAATAGAAGAGAAATTATCGTGGTATTGCATATTTTGCAGTTCAGATCTTCAGAAAGTAAAGATTGCAGTCATCCTTGAAACATGCAATCAACAACATCATTGCTAGAACCTAATGTAAAGAAACATAATTATAACAATTTTAATAGTAGGAATGCATGGAAAAAAAGGTGTTAGGGGTTATCTTTTAACCATTATTAAGAGAATATGATGGAACAAAAATTCCATGTCTATGTCTTAATCTATATTATTAAGTAGGAAAGAGAATGCTTTGATAAAGCTTCAAGAGTTCAACTTCTTAAGTGAAATTCTATTTCCCTAGCAGTACTATGAAATTAAAGAAGTTCAACTACAAAAGCAACTAGACCATTCACACAAGGTGAGATCAATAATATAATGAAGCACTTTATATTGCAGAGAAGTTAATTAACCTCGGATAAAGCTGAAATTGCCACTTTCCTTATGCTAACAAGTGGATCCCAACATGCAATGCCTACTGTCTTTATCAAATCTTCATCAAGAGCACTGCCGAATAGAGATGTCAACTTGGATATTAGAAGAAGAGCACCCTTCCTAACTGCAGCCTTCTCATCTGCACACAGGTTTTTCAAGACATTGTTGATTCCAGCCCGTTCCAACTTAGATCCATCATTTCTGAACCCCAATATTTCCTTCAACACTGATTTGCCCCGATCATCACCAGAAAGTTGTACCACCACTTGGGCTAAAAGGGTCAAAGCCCGAGCTCTAATCCCAGCAATAGCATCTGAGCACCGCTGAATCAATGCATCCAAACACCTCAAACCCCAGGAACTCTCAAGACCAATATCTGAACCCCATCCTAGTGGATCTTTGAATGACATTATTAATGCCGGAATGAGGTCCACAGCCAAAAGCCTTAAATGCCCCGCCCCTTGGCTCATCTTCACTACATAATCAGTGAAGCCAACTTGATCCTCCAAGTCTAAAACTTTAACGATCTGTATTATGGATGCCACAGCTGAAGCTCTGGGCTCAGCCTTTTCTGGAGACTTATGAACCAAATACTTGGGCAAATTTACAACCGCTTCCTTTACTATGGGTGAGTCTTTGGCCATACTCGCCATCATGTTCCCGACAAATTCTAAAGCAAACGCCTTAGCTTGAGACTTAACTGAAAGAATCAATGGTGTCAATGACTTCAAAAGCTCGGCAGTGGAAAACCTCAGATCCCCATGATCAGTCTTAAGGACTTCCCTTAGGACCCTTGAACACAACTCACATAGCCTGGTATAAACACTTGAACCCCCAGCAATTTCACTTGCCATTACAGGAATGTCGGCCACAGTTTGAACCAAACTCCTCAAACAATCGGGAAACCTATCCAAATGGACCAAACCCATCACCAATTCCAACATCTCGAGGATACAGAACAAAACCCTAACATCAAAAAACGTATCTTCACCCACGTCCTCGCAATGTTCATTGTTGTTTCCTCTGCTCTTCCCTGAGCCTCCTCGACCGCTCCTCTTTCCTTTTCTCACAGGCTGTCTTACCCCTGAAGCCCCTTTGGGGGGTAAATGCTTGCTTTTCAAAGCTCTGCGAATGGACACAAGAAGCGACAGAAAAGACATGGGAGTGAACAGAGTCAAGACGGGACAATTTGGGGAGAGAAGAAGAGATAAGTAAGCCGTGGATGCCAAGATTGAAAGATGGGGTGGGCTGGAGTCCATGGCCGAGGATAGTGCGTTGGATAGAGCTGTGGGTGAGAGGTTTCTTGAAGAAATTTCATGGTAGAGGGTTTCGAGATCTGTGGGATCTTGGGTGCTCAGGGTGTAATCTAAGAACGTTTGGAGATCTTTGAGAGTAGGTTCTGAAATGGTGTTTTGGGATTCAATGTCTGCCACTATTCTCTGTATAGCTTCTTCCATGGTCGAAGTGTAGAAGCGGTCGCGGAGCTTTGGAATCTAAAGGCTCCACTCATTCCAATGGTTTGAACTTTGAATTCCGAATATTGTTAACCTTGGCGGGAAACATAGGGATGGCCGGTGGGTTCGGTTTTTTACCCAAAATCAAAAAGGTAAATTGGCGGCTTGGTTCGATTTTGCATAAAAAATATGTAAATCGTTGGTTATTCGGTTCGGTTTTATACGGTTTTTCTTTCATTTTTTTTCGGTTTTTTCGGTTTATAAAAGTAGAAATTTATAAGCATTAAAAATTGTAAAAACACTAACTCGATGAAGCAATAACAATATGTTGTGTTAGGTTTGGTTTTTTGGTTTGAGTTTATACAAAAAAAAATCAAACGGAAGGTTATTGTATCATTCGGTTCAATTTTACATAAAAAATACGGAGTATGTATTGAATACCCAACAAACATTTAGGAGATTCCAAATACTTCCAAAGACATCGCAAGTAAAATTAATTACGAAGAATTTGTGTTTTTTGGTATAATACTTTCATTTTCATTATAACATCAAAGTATTTTTTTATGTAAATTACTTGTATCAATTTTTAATGTTAATATAATTCTATATTTGGATTAGCTATTGGTGTTTATATTCTTAGCTTTTTTTAAAGTTTATAATAATATGGCTAAAATTTTTAATTACTCCCTCCGTCCCTAAATATTTGCCACATTTATATTCCCGAGGCAAAATATCAAGCTTTTTCAATTCATTTTATTTACATATTAGTATAGAAATAAAAAATAAAATTTACATATCAAAAAACTACATGAAAAGTTCTTCGAAATAAGAGGTGTGAAAAATATTTTATTTTATCAAATAACCAATGAAAATGTAGAAATAAACAAAAGTTCCCGCGACTGCTGAAAAAGCAAACGTTGCAAATAATTTGGGACGGAGGGAGTAATAGTTAAGAAAATAATTTTAATCGACTAGTAATTTATTTGCATTTATATTTCTATGATTTTTCTACATATCACATATATTTATATAAAAAAGCGGTGTATCTAAGAAAGTTTGGTTTATTCGGTTAAGTTCGGTTTTTCAAAGTGAAAACCAAAACGGAACCAAACACTAACGGTTCGATTCGGTTTTCTTACATTTGGTTTCGGTTTTTTTGGTTCGGTTTTTTCCCTAGCTCATTTCGATCGGTTTCGGTTCGGTTTGCGGTTTTCGGTTTTCCCAACCCAGCCCTAGGGAAATAGGTTAGATTTTGGCAAACTAGAATAAAGGAAAAAATTACGGAGAATAATATAATTTTATTCGTTTTTTCAAAAAGAATCTTAGTTTTTACATAATAATCATAATTTTATTGAAATTTATTAGTTTTGTATTCATGTTAAGTTGCTAACAGTTGGTTAATGAAATCTGTTTTGCGCAACAAAATGAAAGTTGAGATTTTTTAAATAAATTTTTGCTTTTAATTTTTTAAAAAAATCAATTTAATTTTTAAAATGACTTTCTTGCTTCCACATCCATCATTTCTTTTTCTTTTTTTGAAGATTACTCTTGCCTTTGAAAAAAATATAAAAATAGATTATAAAAGAGTTAAGTGCACAGTTTACCTCGTACTCTTTAGAAATGGCATGTTTTACCCCTGAACTTTAAAAAGTGCATCGATTACCCTTGAACTCTTCGAAAATATCACGATTTACCCCTGCAGACTAAAAATGCACCAAATACCCTTGAACAAATTAAAACGTTGCATCGTTGGTCGTAAACTATTATATAGAGAGGGCGTTGCTTCCACGCACAAGAATTGTGAATATCATTCATCTGACCCTTGTGAATTTTCCAAAATATCTTTACCCAAAATTGTCATCTTTATTTAAATGTTCAGGAGTAAACCTCACAATTTTTGAAGAGTTCAGGGGTATTTGGTGCAATTTTTATTGTTCAGGGGTAAACCGTGCAATTTCTGAAGAATTCAGGGGTATTTGGTGCACTTTTTAATGTTCGGGGGTAAACCATGCAATTTTTAAAGAATTCGGGGGTAAACGGTGCACTTAACTCGATTATAAAATATAATGAAATGAGAAAACAACTAAAATCATACAAAATTGGTATGAATGTAATGGGAAACTATGAAGTTCAAAAGGGCTATGAGTGGCTAATGGGTGTTACCACTCAGTTCCAAGCATCCCATATAGTATGGAACAAGCTAACAGTTCCAAAACATCAGTTTCTGAGCTGGCTTGGATGGAAGAATAGGATCAGCACCTAAGTCACTGAATAGGTTCATGGACATAGACACTAACTGTGTACTATGTTCTAATGGTGAAGAAGATAAAAATCATCTTTTCTACACATGTCCTTACACTAGGGATATTATGGAAGAGATTGGACAATGGAAGGCTATCAATGATGAAGAAATGAAGGAAGATTTCAAACACATTAAAGGGAGGAAGCACAGACAAATAGTACTCGCTGGTTTTGCAGCCATTTGTTACACACTATTGAAGGCACGAAACCTCAATATTAAGCAGCAGAGGAGTATCTCAACTGGAGAAAGCAAAGAGTGGATTAAATTTCAGTTGAAACATATATAAACTACAAGCTTAGGAGTATGGTTTTGTGTTGAGTTTCTAGGGTGAAGCAGCCTTGTATTAGTTTTTGGTTTCATGTTCTATGGATGTTTGTTGACTGTTGAGGTGGTGAATAAAAATTAATGTGCATTTGTTCAAAAAAAATCATACAAAATTAATGGAGTAAAAAGATATAAACAAAACTAACCTCAGCTGATTAGAAATAAAACTAACAATAAACCGAATGATAAGTTCTAACGTTTTAGGCACTATATAGATGTAGTATTAATGTATTATTTCCTCCTAAAGGTAAAGATAAAAATAAAATAAAAAATAAAAAAATATTTTCATATTGAAACCCTAAAAAAATAATAAAAAAACTTTTTAAGAAATAACTAAGATGAAATTATGATGAAGTAAGAAAATATTTTTTTATTTTTTTTCTTTCCATTTTTTAGGGTTTTAATAAGATCAAAAATATTTTTTTATTATTGTTTTTTTTTATTTTTATTTGTTACCAATGGAAGAAAGTAATACATTAATAATTCGTCCCTATAATGCCAAAAACATTAGAACTCACTACTGTATTTTTTTAGATGTATTTCTTATCAGCTTGAAGACATAACTTTTATATTTATTTGTAATACTTTTTCCAACATCATATTTTTGGGTGTTTGACTTTGACAGAGTCAAAATTGATTTAATTGGCCTTTACTCAAAAAGGTTCTTTCATTTAATTCATATTACTTATTCTCATGATTTATTTTAATAAATCATTTCAAAACACATTGGATTTATCTCTATGAGATTTTTCCAGATTGTGATATTGGATATCAAAACACATTTCATTTTTGCCCAAAACCCAATAATAATTTATTTTAATCAAAAAAAATTTGATTAATTGAATAATAATTCAATAATAATTTTAGGGTATATTTGGAGCGTTATAGTCTTGGAGTGCGGTATCTCCAAGCAAGCATTGTTGAGGGTCGTGTGATTCTAGCTCTCAGGTTGAATTGGGTTGTTAAGCACCTTTAAGCTTAACAGATTTAGTAGGACCTTTCGAGAGAGTCTCTCGGAGGACTGGATTAGCCACAAGTTGTGGTGAACCCATATAAATACAGTGCGCTCCCTCCTTACGAACTTTACTCTCTTTCACTTCATTTTTATTTCCGGTGAGCTCTCTTCCAGACTTAACCATTTGATAAGAAAAAAGATCATGAGCTCTTCTTCTAGAAATTTGTATATAGGAATATGTGAAGGGCAATCTATTTCAAGGCAACTGCTCTTTGATGGCACAAACTATACCTATTGGAAGGAACAGATGAGAATTTATATTCGCTCAACAAACTTTCAACTCTGGCTTATCATCAAGAATGGTGAGAACGTGTCAATAAAGATGGTTAGTGAAACCTTGGTCCCAAAGAGCGAAGAAGAAAATGACGAAGAGGACTTTAAAAAGGTAGAAAACTATGCTAAATCAATAAACATGATTTATTGCGACTACTGGAAAATCTCCCGTTGCTCCACGGCTAAGGAGATGTGAGACAAGCTTGAGGTCCCCTATGAAGGTACGAATCAGGTTTGTGAAGCTAAAAATAGATTTTTTTTTAACCTACAAATATGAGTTGTTTTGTATGAAGGAAAATGAGATGATTGATGAGATGTTCAACCAATTTTCGAAAATCGTCAACAAGCTCCATGTACTCAAGAAGGTGTACACCAACAAGAAGATGGTGATAAAAATTCTGAGAAGCTTGACGCTGGAATGACATTCTAAACCTGACGTCATACAAGAATCAATTGGGATCACAAATGTCACAATTGACAAACTTCAAGGTAACCTCAATACTTATAATTTACTATCTTTAACCCATCTTTGGATGATCAAAGGAAGAAAGGGATAGCTTTTAAAGCCACCCCATCACATGATGATGGTTTGATGTTGTCTCTTACTACTTTAAGTTATGTATCGACCGTAGACCTTTTTAGTTTAATTCATAGTATGAAGATATTTAAATGATATGAAACTATGATAAAGTTATACTTGTACTTAATTCAAACTTCAGTCTTGTCTTAATCTTTTCAAACAAAACTGTCATTAGTAGCAATTAAAAAATTTGTAAAATTATCTAAAGAACTTCAAAAAATTTATTTTACACCTTTTGTCTCATAACTTTATTTGATTTGGATGTTATACTTATTTTACCTTCCTTCACTTCTACTTTGAGGATTACACTAGTTTATTACAGGTATGCGGTGACCTTTAATAATGACGTGTTATTCTTTTTTTTGTATTTCTACACCTCATATTGCTTCTTTAAAAATAACATTATTCAACCAATTTATCCAACACTATGTTATGTTTAATTTTCTACATGTCCTATTTTTTTGCACGATGAAGCTTTGTAATATTACTTTGTAATATGATATACTTTTTACCCATATGTTTAGCAATTTTTAGGCTTAGACAGAAGTATAATGCTTGCAAAATCTATTTTTTATGTAGAAATCACCCTAAATTAGACTAAAACATAGAGAAAAGTACCAAAATAGAACTTTCATGTTTTTTTCCCGAAATAGGACTTCGCACTGTGGTTTTATGGTTGTAATGTGGCACTGTAATGTGCACATTACTATACTTTTTGGTAATGTACATGACCATGTTTGATAATGTAAATGCATTTTAAGTCCTGTTTCGGGAATAAAAACATTGAAGTCTTATTTTGGTATATTTTCAATATTTAGTCCTACTTTGGTCTTTATCCCTTCTTATCATTATATCGATTGTTATAATTTAATCCATCCTCTTAATGGTGCTATTCAAACTAAAATACAATATTTTACACTATTGTTTACTCTTTTGAATATCTTGTAAATAGGTACAAAACTTGGAACAATATAATTAATAGCATAGTACTCCAATTCTTGTTCAAACAGTGATACTTTTTGAGCTTAATAACTTAGTACCTTTCTTGTTTTGAGTTTTTGTCAAACAATGATACTTTTTCCCACAAACTAAACATAATGTAAATAAACAAATGATATAAAAATTTGATATATCGAATTTATTTATATCATAAGATGAAGCCAACTATATTGAATTTATATTATAATTAAATATATATTTTCAAAATGTATGCTTAAAGAGTCTCACTACTTGACCAAAAAATCAAAATCGAAAAGGTTTTTAGGGCAGGAAGTAGTAAGATATTTCATATGTACATATTTCCTAAACTTCCATTACTTACATTCTTCCATTCTTTGAGCTCGAATTAACATATATTACCATGAATACCACGCAGTTTAGCCTTATTTATAATGTTTGGTGCAAAGATTGTGCTTAATGCTTGAAACACAAAGTCTTACCATAGACATCCATTATTTTGCCAAAATGATTTTGTTTGTTTAATCAAACATATTAAAGATGGTTATTGAAGTTTTCGACATCGCATACGTATTTATAGAGTAAAAAATATGCGTAAAAATACAATTATATGTTACCATTACATATGTCTAAATTAATAGACATGGTAATAAATTAAATTTATTGATAAAGTGTCACAATACATTACAAAACTTCCTAACTCAAAATCAACATGCTACATCTTGAACAATACAAAACAAATACATCAGATAAGTTCATAATAATACATAACACTAAACGTTAATCGTGCACTTGAATTTGTGCATCACGTGGAAGAGTGCTATTATACATACATACATACATACATACATACATACATACATACATACATACATACATACATACATACATATATATATATATATATATATATATATACCCGGAGTATATAACTTTGATTTGTTTCCATCTTTTTATTGAATGTTTGAAAAATAAAAAAAAAGTCCACCACTCATTTTGTTGAACTTTTAATGTACTTTTTAAAATTTAAATATGTAAGTTATGTTTTTTTATTTCTATACCAATTTACACATTATTCAAATTATGTAATTTAATTTGGAACAGAGAGATGTTTGAATTCAAATTCATATTTAAATTTTGTATTTGTATTTAAATTATGCAAATTTAAATCATTATATTAGAGTATGAATTAAGAAATAAGTTAAAAATATTTAATTTGTTTACAACCTTAGATAGTCATGGCCACATGGGTGGCTCTAAATTCCTTAATTCCAAGTGGTAACTCTTGCCTATATTGTACGGAGTAATTTGGTACTCATTAAAATTATTTATTTAACTCAAGGTTATCTATTTTTTATATTCAATTGATAAAATAATATAATTTTATAAAATTGAATACATAAAAATTTGATATAATTTTTAAACATATTAAAAAAATTTAGTTATATAATAACTTTTAAATTAATTAAATTGAAAATAATTTAAAATCAAAACTTCATAAACAACACCTTCCAATTTAAATGGTGGAGAGAGATTCCAAATCCCAAAAGGAAACCGAGGCTTGGGTATTTCGTAATTGGGAATTCCCTAGTCCGTAATCTCTCCCAATCAATCCTCTTCTACAAACCCTAGCCCTATATATGCTCGTTGTGTCCTCCTGTTGAAATCCTCGCGGTACCTCTCTCTCTCTCTCTCTCTCTCTCTCTCTCTCTCTCTGCGTCCATAGCTTATTTTTGCAGCATCCCAGAGAGCCTTAACTTGCAGCCATGTTGGTCTATCAGGATTTACTAACTGGTAATCTTTCTTTATCGGTCTTACCCTGTGCTGTTTTATTGTTCTGGCTGGTATATCTCTCTCGATTGCGTGTTTCTCCTCCGATTTCCCAACGCTAAGTTCTGAATCTATGCGTCATTATTGCTTGGATTCTGTAGATCTATCAGCTGCGTAGTTTTTATCTTTAGATGAGCACCTTATATCTGATTTAATTTGTTTAGCACGTAATCTTCTGTTGGATTGAATTTTACATTTTTTTCTCAGAGATTTGCTTGGTAATTTGTTGATCTGTTTTGTTTTCGAAGTTTGCCAACTAGGGGGTGTTGTTTTGTTTAAATCCTTGCTAGATTGGATTTGGTCTTCAATATATATGCTGTACGTGCGTGAATCCATGATGAAATTTGTTAATTTTTTTTGTTTGAATAAATTAATGGTTTGATCTGTTTTGTAATTTTTGGGCATATTGCCCGAGAAGTTAGCATCTTCTATTAACTAAGAATTAACACAATTTTTCTTTTAAATTAATTTTTGGTTTGATCAATTTTGTAATTTTATGGACAAATTATCAGAGAAGTTAACATCTTTTATCAACTAAGAAATAACACCATTTTCTTGAGTAAAGGCTTTTTCTTTTTATTAAGAATAACTCCTTATATTGGCAGCTTATGTTCTTAATGATTGGGGATCCCTTGTCATAAAACCTGACTCTCTTAGCATGCTCCTTGTCTACTGATCTGTACTGGATGGATCGAAATAGACTTGAGTTTCTTTATGATTATATCAAACATGGATTACAATTTAATCTTGCTTTGTTCGTTAGGTGATGAGCTTCTGTCTGATTCCTTTCCTTACAAGGAGCTTTTTGATGGAATTCTGTGGGAAGTTGAGGGAAAGGTGACCCGCCTTTGATTGTTGTTCTTTAAAAAAATTCATCTTCACAGCATGGGTAACATTGATGTCTTTCTTTGCATACAGTGGGTTGTCCAAGGAGCGGTCGAGGTTAATATTGGAGCAAATCCCTCCGCAGAAGGTGGAGAAGATGACGAGGGTGTTGATGACCAAGCTGTTAAGGTGGTCGACATCGTTGATACCTTCAGACTCCAGGTACAAAACTGGGTGTATTCGTTTTTTCTTGAGATTGGGTTTCTATATAATGGTGTGGTTTCTATTTGACTTGAAAAACTCTACCCTATCTATTTAGGAGCAACCTCCTTATGATAAGAAGACATTTGTAGCACGCATCAAGAATTTCATTAAGACGTTGACCCCTAAGTTGGATGAAGAAAATCAAGTTAAATTCAAGAAGAATATTGAAGCAGCAACCAAGCACCTGCTCTCAAAGCTCTCAGATCTGCAATTGTAAGTTCATTGTTTATCTTGTACAATCTAGTCTGCTTTCTCATGTTCTAATTTAGACACCAAAAGTTCTTAACACGACCTGGTATTGTCTTTGTAGCTTTGTTGGGGAGAGCATGCACGACGACTCGTGCCCTGTGGTTGCTTACTACAAGGAAGGTGCCACCGACCCAACGTTCCTCTACTTTGGCATAGCTCTCAAGGAGGTCAAGTGCTAACTAATCGCTATGGTGTTTGATGAGAAACTATAGACATGTGCTTTCATGTATCTCTACTTTGGTATATTTTTATTTTTGGCTGTGTGATTGGATTCTCAATTTTCTGTCTTGCTGTATCTTCAACATTTAAGATTATGATTGTTTTTTGTTCCTAAAAATTATTAATAATCGTAGCTTTTTTGGGTCATTGGTTGTCATCTTTTGTTTATGATTGTTTTTGGTTCCTAAATTAATTAATTAATAATCGTAGCTTTTTTTGAGTCACTGGTTTTTTAATCATCTGCACTCTTTAATGATCGAAAATCACCTAGGTAGTGTCTTTCTCAACCAAAGAGATTATTTTGATATCTTTGAACTTTTTCTTTGGAAGGTTTAAATATCTTCTAAATTTAGGAGATATCTTCAAATTACAACTATTTTCTACATACGTAGTAGTGTTTTTTGGTATTAAATGTTGACATTATTGATATTTTGCTTTTAGCCTACCAAGGTTTTATCTCCCCTAAACAAATTCTAAACTTGTCCTTTTCTTTCAACAATCTTTTTAAAATTTGTGAAATTAAAACGTCACTAATTTTATTGGATAGAAGGAATATTTAACAAACTAGTTTAGAAAATCACGTCGTACTAAAACGTTTTATTCTTGCACTTTTGCCCTAGTGTGATAATGTTACCCATAATCAAGTTATTCAAGCCATACTCGATCAAAAATTAGAAAAATAGGACCCACATATACTCCATGCATCAAAACATGGCTTCCAGTATTTTTGGGTCAAAATAAGATTTGATGATGTCAAAGTATATTGTCAAAAAGCACATTGAAATACTAATATACAATACTAATTTACGAACAATTCACATTGCCAATTAACACTCATATTTAATGATTAAAAACATATGATATCTTGTTTTGTTATACGTTTTATATTTTAGTCTTATTTAGGTATCAATTAAAAATAAGAAAGAGGAAATGTCACAAAAGCGTGAAAGAGAAATGTATGCATAAAATTTGAAGCAATCGAAGTGTGCAATAATCTGCAAATTTTCTTGTATGACTTTATACATTTCATAACTAATGAGTGCTTATGACTTGAACAAAATAGGTCACATTCTTGATCATAGTGAGAAGAACATATGAATACAATTTGGAATCTCAAAAATAATTTCACATATTGGAGATTAAATAAAAAATAATCAGTTAAAATTAATTTCAATTTCCTCATTTAAATGACTATAAAAATTAATCAATAAATAAAAGAGTCTAATTGGCGGCGGTGTGAAGCTTTGTGCACTTGGGCTTCTTCACAATCATAACAGAACAGTTTGCATGGTGAGAGCAGTAGTCACTCACGCTCCCTAGAACAGCCCTGTAAATAAATGAAATTTGACATCAATTTTTAGTACAATAGAACTAGGATAACCCCCAAAAGGAGTGACCCCACGTTTTGCACTGATCACATGGATTTTTATTATTTGTATCACACAGACATAAAAGATTTGTGCGAAGCATGGGGTCACTCTTGTGCCAAAATTAAAGTCACTTTACAACCTCCGATGATTGTCAAAAATTATCTAGATTTCCATATAATTTATTTTAAAAGTATATAAATAAAAAAAATAAAAAATCACATATTCAAAAGCTGTATAAAAAGGGACATGTGGATATTTTTTTTGTCAAAACGTTAACGAAAATACGTCACACCACACACACATAATGTGACTAGTTGTGATTGCTTTAATAAAAATGACAAAAAGAAAAAGGTGGAGATTTGGAATGAAATACCTTTTGAAAGATCCATAGCCATGACTACCCAAGACCAAGAGAGATGCATGGTGGCGGTCAACGGCGTCGCAGGCCACATTCCGAGCATCGCCATCTTGAACATCAAACTCCACATCCTTCACCCCTTTCTGGCTGCATAAATCCTTAGCCTTCTCCATCACTTGGGTAGCTGTCCTCTTTAGATCTGCCTCCACCGCATCCAACACGTCACTCGCTCCTTCATCAATTCATTCAATTGCATCGAATTAAATTAATTGTGTTCATAAATAAATATTAACTTCAATTGATTAGTTACTTTGATTCAATCTAAAAATGCAAATGTATTTTTTAGTTTTCCAAACACTAGATCAGGTATATATGGTACAATCCGATGTATCATCCATCCATTCCATGTAATATCATTCTAAAATAATGCAGTACTCATTTTCACACATTGATTCAATATAATTATAATATTCATCTACAAATAATGTAGTCTTCTTTTTGAAAATAAAAACAGTATTCATTTTCAAATAACTTAGTGTTCATTCTCATGTAAAAAAATCCATATCATGAATAATTTTTTGGTTGTACCCAAAAATGGGTACAACCGGATGTATAATATAATTTGTCCAAACACTGCCTAGGTGAAATTATTTCGTGGGATGTTAAAAGAGTGGAAAGTGTTTTTTTGAGAAGCATATTCTAATAAGCTTTGGTATCAAGAAAAAGAGATTATGTACCTGGACCTGCAAGTCCTATAATGCCACTGGGGCTAGTCCTTGCGTGGATAATGAGGAGCTTGAAAACGGAACCCGTGGGAATGATCAGCTGCTCGAGGGTCCACTCGAGGGCGTAGAAGCTATGATCGCTGTCGTCTAATGCGAAGATTATCACCTGTTTCTCATCGCCCATTTTTTTACTTTTCACAATCTTTAATTTAAATGCTACAGAAACAAGAATAATGAAATGTTAATTACCCTCTTAAACTTTTGGTTGGTCAGAAACTTACAAAACATTATCAAAGGTGTTTTAGTATAGTCTTGCTGGGAGTTGCATGTGACTTATGATTTGTGTGGTTAATGTTCACTAGTGGGGCGCCAAGGGTGCATTAACCAGTAATTTGAACTGAGGCATTTTCAAGGGGGATAATATTTGGTTACGTTGCACCTAAGGAATAGTTCTTGATAGGTCTATTGTTATTGTTAAAGAGACCCTATCACAAATTTTTAAAAAGAGATGATTGGCTCAAATTAATTCTCTTCCTTCTATATAAATCTTAACCCCACATTTTTATATTTTCGTAAAATGGGTAAATAGTGTAAAATTGTAAAAGCAAGAAAGCCTTTAGGAGACGGGGGCAAGTATTATACCAAGAAAATAAACTCGAATGAATTGTACAAAACACTACGAATAAGTGTAATAAACGATACTCCCTACGTTTCTAAATAACTTTCTATTATGAATTTAGACATAACGTCTGTCCACATTCATTCAAAATCTAATTATCCAAAAAAATCATAATAACAGTTATTTAATAACGGAGGAAGGACGTATTAAACACAGAGTACAAATGTGTTTACTCTCTAAATCACCTCTTGAATAGTCTGCAATTATTATTTATACATGCATGGGAGAAGAGAATGTAACATGGGAAACAAAAATGAGAGAGAGGAATCCTTTTATTACTCCCCCCCCCCCCCAATTCTAACAACCCACTGATATACGACTTACTGAAACTAAAACGAAACACGTTGCAAATTTTACTCCTGCTAAATGCAGATCTTCTCAACCAGACCATAAACAAAAACGGTCCTCAGCTCGCAGTGCTTCCAATTTTGCGCTGTCAGATGCCACTGCGACATAAAAGATACCAACAAATTCAGCAATGTGCTTCAACCCAATATAGATGTTTATTTAACATTTCCGAATTAAAACAGTTCTCAGAAGGGTATCGATGAACAAGTAAACGAAATTACCTATCCACCCACTACTGTGTTGTATTCTGAAGAGGAAAGGCCCTAAAACTTGCTTCATGAAGATCCATGATTGCACAACCTTCAACTTTGTTCCTCCAACATCTCACTGAGCAATTCCACACTTCTCTTATTAACTTCGCCACCCCTCAGCAGATTTGTAAGGAACCTTGGGTAGAATGTAGGACAACCCAGGTTACCAGACATATCCTACTCCAATGAAAACTTGGCAATGAAAATGATATCAAAACATGACCAGTCCTACATGTTTCTTCCATAACTACCAGGAAAACTATATCAGGGTGCACCACTTATTTGACAACTGCACACTCCTGGTCCCTTTTATAAGGGTGTGTCCAGAAGTCTAAGGGTTGATCAACTTCATAAGAAATTTTGGTGCTTTTGGGGTGAAAAAATATTTTTCTTCCTAAAGTACCCCTCACTTCTTTAATAATTTCCTCAGTGGGACTGCTTTTTTTGTCATTTCTGAGGACAAAATTGATAAACATCGCCTAAATTGTTAATTTTAGAAAACAGTATTGGTATTCGAGAACTGGGTTGAAATCCCTTATTAATAAGATCAAAGGGATTACATAATACATTTATCCTTGGGTTTGGGAGGCCATGTGCAATCTCAATCGAATTCCCTTATTCGGATTATAGCATAGTGAAAGAATTTTTAATATAACTTTTCAAAGCCTTGCTAAAGTTAGCTTTATAGAAAATAACAATATGAAAGACAAAATCAGTTGCTATTTTACAACAGATAAAAACCTCCAATCTAATGTTCAACTGAAACTGACTTTCTATGAATCGTATGTGTTATTTCGCCTGAATGTACAATAATAGGTGTTATTTCGTCTAAATGTGCAAATACATTTCTAGCACGGAAGCAAGTAGCACATTAGTTATAAGGCAAAAAGATATTTTTCAAACTAAGAGTGGGGTTGAAAGTGCGACAAACCATTTTCTTAGAGACTACCTGTGTCCTGAAATTTGAGAATTCCATTTCCAAAGGCACCTAAGGCATACAAAAACCACATTAGAATTCTTTTCTATTACAACAACAATAACCCAGTATAATCCCACGTAAGTAGAAAGTAGAGAGACTGTTTCTTTTCTACTCTTATATATATATATTCATTTATTTATGAAGAGATGGTAAAAAGAGCATGTATGAGCATGTCGTTTCTGACCTTTCCCTTTTTATTGGCATAGCTTCCATTACTTTCCTTTTCATTGAAAGAATTTACTCTTTTGGGCCCCCTATTTGCTGGTGACACTTCAATGTCAGACACCTGATCTCCAGCTACAGCTGTGCATTTATGATTTGCTTCTCCGGTGCCCTGGAAGACACGGGTCGTAAGCATGTCATCCATCTGGGCAGTGCCATTCACTGTTGCACACTGCCCGATAGCTTCTTTGATAGCACTCATTGCAACATTATAACTCTCCAGAGAGAGAGATCCTTCTTCACCCAATATAATGGCTCTCCGGCATAGATCATTATAACGGCGGACCTTAGACTCCACATCCTCCAAATTCTCACTGATTGGAAACCTGCTTTTAGCAACATTGCTCCAACGTTGTAAAATATATTTATCTGGAATTTTGAAGACCCCGGACATTTGGAGAACCACTATAGCATGCCTACAAAGAAAACCTTTGTATTCAAACAGATGACACGAGCAGTATACTTCTAGCTTTGATTCAGTCCATTCAACACTGAAATCTTGATCATTTTCAAAGTCTTTGACAGCATACGTCATTGTTGTGTCATCTTTTTCTTTTCTAAGATGGCATGCAGCTGCCCCCAACACTTCAACTTGAAATTTCTTGAATATTTCACTAGTGCATAAGACAGACAGTTGTTTCTCAAACGGCGATGGAGATTTCAATTCAACAGTTTCATGCCAAGAATCAAAGTTTGCTTTTGCTTCTTCTTCATATCTGTCTTCAAGGGTCAACTTATATTTTCCTATGAATTCTCGCAAAGAAGTATCGGCATGGATATACTTGTCAAGAAAAGAGTTCATACTTTCATCTCTAGAAGCAGCGGATAAGCCAGCAAAAGATACGCCCCTCATAAAAGTAGGAACCCAACACTTGCGATCTTCGTACAATGACTGCATCCATTCATCTTCTCTGAGGCTAAATCTGTCGAGCAATTTCCACCATCTTTTTTCGAACTTTTCTTCAGCACATGACCTATGTATGCATTTACAGAATTTTGCAATGAAAAGATCATGCCACAGGCTAAGGTAATCAAGATACTTCGGGATTTTCTCCAAAACACACCACAAGCTAAAGTAGTGACATGTGTCAGGAAAAACTGCTGAAACAGCCCCTTTTATTGCAATGCTTTGGTCAGTGAGCAACACTCTTGGGCCTTGCCCACCCATTGCCAAGCACCATGCTTTAAGCAACCAAAGAAATGTATGGATTGTCTCGTCTGCGATCAATGCACATCCCAGTAATACTGGCTGAATGTGATTGTTTACACCAATAAAAAAGACCAGAGGTATCCGAAACTTGTTTGTGAAATATGAAACATCAAACGAGACCACATCACTGAAGTGAGCAAAATCATCCATACCTTTGGCATCAACCCAAAACACATTTCTCAGCCGATGCTCCTCATTCAAGTCTACTGCATAAAAGAATTTTGGGTTCGCTTCTTGCATGTGCACGAAAAATTCAAGCAAAATTTGAGCATCTCCTTCTTCTAAAGCTAAACTACGACCCCTACCATTCTGATTCCTAAATATATTATCCAAAGAACTAGAGAACTGGTAGGTATCGTACTGGTTTGACACAGCAGAAAGAACCTTTTTCCTCCGGATTTTAGGACCGCTCGTGATGGGATCAGCACTCATGTGGCTCCGAAAACGATGCACGTGTGCCAGCCAAAGGTCGTGATTGTGCTCCTTCACAAAGCTATGGATGTACCACTTCCCATTCTGCCTTCTCTTGACATGCATGCTAGCCTTGCACCCAATCTTGGGTGAAGGCCTAGGGTTAATTACGTCATCAGACTGCTGCTTATTACCATAACTTGTGCAAGAAAACTTTGCATCAATGAACTCTTTGGACACCCTTGAGCGACGACTGCTGGCTTTGGCAGTGCCGAATCCGACGGATTTGGCATATCCTCTATAAAATTCGTATGCCGCCTCATGAGAATCAAACTCCATCTCATTCCGAGGCTCCAGAACATTACTCCCCAGAGCAACAACACTGGACCCCATTATAGAAAATACATAAACCCAGAACAAAAAACTAGGGTTTACATTTCAAGACTTTGGGAGGTCCTGTGACATCACAATGTTAGGTTTCAGCTTCTTCCTGGAGTGGGAGGAGAACACTGAAAGGCCAGAAATAACAGTGCTATAGAGCATAACAAGATATGTTTACAATGAATTGAAATAAGGGAAAACGCTAGAAGGCAACAAATAATAGAGCTAGGGATTGGGACTTCAAAGCTCACAAATTTACAATGAATTGAAATAAGAAGGGAAAACCCCAAAAGGCAGAAACTCTGGACCTACTGAGAAAGGATAAATACCGCAATGGCAGGAGAGGGATATTAACAAACAATAGAGTTCCATGCGTTTCCTTGCGGATCAACAAAGCATTGAAAAGTGCCAAGGCAGAGAGAAGGCTATCTGGAAAGGATGCAAATATCTGCTCTGCAAAAGTATACAGTAGAGAAATGGATGTTGTAATTGAAAAAAAAAAGGTCTATCCAAAGATGGTACCCAACACCTACTCTATAGTACTTTGATGAAAAATGGTAGGGTACATCAAAGGTGTACCCCATTTGTCCTCTATTCCCTCCATTATCACAAAAATGGGTAAAAAAATTTTAAAAAATTAAATAAATAAAAAGTAGATAAAAATAGGTGGTGGAGAAGGGGGTGGGGGACAAATGGGGTACACCTTTGGTGTACTTGCTCTACTTTGATTGTTTAAGTCATGCTAGGGGTGATGGGTGTATTCCACCCACGACCGGTCAAAGGAGAAGGCCAAATCTCTGACCGGTCAATCTCGAAAGTTTTGGAAGGGAGACATAAATTGTCAGCAAAACGATATATCATCGGCCAAAATATGACCGGTATACTTCACAAAAAAGTATACCGGTCAAACTACGTTGTCATCCTATTTATTCCAGACTTCGATGAATTCATCCCTCGGAGATTACCCGGTGTAGTTTCTGGGGTTGAAAGTGTCGGCAGAAGAAGATCTGCGAGGGCTTGGCGTGTAGCGACCCGTGTCAGTAGAGGACAACTAGAGATGCTGAAGAATCCATCCAAGGCACTACTCGACAAAGGGAATGATCCCCCTCACAAGGCGACAAGGCATCTCGAGGACGAAACCAGTCACCTCGCACCACATCAGCAGCATGCCCCCACGTGGGCGCACGTGGTCTTGTCCCCCATAGCCTAGTATAAATACTCATGTAAACCTCAGAAAGAGGGATCCGAATTCATTCTCTCTAAACTCCCTTGTAAAAGCACCCGTGCATTCTCCGTTATAATATAAATTGGGCTACAGGTGTTCCACCTAAAGTCCTACCGGTCAATCTACGAGTTTTTACCTTTCTTACTTTGCCAAATCAAGCAAACTATTCTAGACCCGGTCTAGCATAGTTTGACCGGTCAAGTAATTTACACCATCATTTTTGGCGCCACCCGTGGGACCGTTAAGGTTTCTTCTCTTCTAAAACCTACCCACAAGAAAACCACTCGAAATGTCTTCCAGCCAACAGATCAACGCTATTTCCGCTCAGATGCATGCCACCAACGAGGGTACCAGCATCCATGCAGCTGCTACCATACCGGTCATCTCAGCCCTGGTGTTGCCTTTGGGTCTGAGCTCTGTCCCGACGGCCAGCGTGATCAGTCCCTTCGCAACCCCCGTCCCTTCTGCTGGACCGAGGGTTACGTTCCCACCAAGCATGGCTCAGTTCATGAATGACCCAGCCAACCTACAAGCCATCCAGGGCTTTGGCTAGGTCATGGCCATGTGCCAGCAGAATGGGGGGATGCCTTTCCTCCCTGGTATGTTCCCGTTCGCTCTTCCAGGCGCGGGAACCATGCCCCTACAAGCCCCGATGGCGGTGACGTCGTTCCAGACACCGGTGCCGCATCCATCACCTTTCCAGCCCCAGCTGGTCAGCACCATGGCCCCTGTCAACTTGGCCGGTGCACTTAACGCTGCAGGGCCGTCGCGTCCCCCGCAAGCTACGAATCCGCAGATCACACCTGACGGTCATTGCGTCTCGATTGAGAGCGATGACGGCGAGTGGGACATCCCGAGAGCCCACAAGAAGAAGAAAGGAAAAAACATCCGGCCAGTGACCTCCCGAAACTCCGCCTTCGAAAGGCTGGGGGATAGGGAGGAAGGCCAGAGGAAGTCAGCCAAGCAAAGGCTGGGGCAGAGCGTTGCCCATGTCAGCGCATTCGCCCGGCTAGACGAGGTGCGGGAGGCCAAGCCTGCCCGCACCCGGCGCTCCCGGTCTAACCGGCAGGAGCCAGCGAGGACGAGGGCCTCCCACCAGGAAGAGGAGGCAGAAAGCAAGCCCAGGTTACCGGTGGCGAACCGGTTGACCATCCCAAACAACCGCGTCCAGCAGATGGAGGCAAAGCTGGAAAGGCTGGAAAAGAAGGTCGGAGAGAAGAATGACCGGGACAAACCCCTGGCAGGGTCCCCGTTCACCGCAAGGGTCCATCTGACACCTTTCCCGCGAAAGGTCAAGATCGACGCCCCCAGATTCACCGGGAAGGAAGATCCGGAAATCCATCTGGACTCCTTCAACCAGAGTGCGACCATGAACGGTTGCACCGATGAAGAAAAGTGTCTTCTTTTCTTCCAGACCTTGCGGAACCAAGCCACTGAATGGTTCAATAAGCTTTGCCCGGGAAGCATTGACTCGTTCAGTGAGTTGGCCTCAAAGTTCAAGGCCAAGTTCCAGGAGAATTGTACTAAGAGGAAGAAGTTCACCTATCTTAGTACAGCCGGGCAGCTGAGAACCTCACTCAGTTCCTTACCCGGTGGAAGGAAGAGGTAGACAAGGTGGAAGAGATGGATGACAAGATCGTCCTCTCCCTCCTCTTGAATGGCTTGCGTGCTGGGGAACTATACAAGGAGTTCTGCCGGAAACCCCCAGCCACGTACCAAGAGGCCTACCATACTGCATGGGAGTTTGCTGAAGCTCAAACCCAGCTCCGGGCAAAGAGAGAAGCTGAGCATGGTCACAAGCCCAAGCTGGTGCAAGTCAAGAAGGAAGAAGCACCGGGACCTAGCCGGCCGAGGCACCACTATGACCCGGTCATCCGAGTGGTCAATACGGAAGAATGCCAAGAAATCTGGAAAGCACCGGTCATTCTTCCAGAAAACCCTACCGGTCAAGTAGGGCGGCAGTGGTCGGGCACCTATTGTTCGTACCACAGGTCAGATTCCCATAACACCTCCGAATGCAAAAGTGTTAAGGGGGTCATCCGGCAGATGATCGACAGTGGAGAGCTGGGCAAAGATTACTTGTAGAAAGCCCAGGAGAAGAGTCATCAATGGGTTAGGCCAACTGCCCCGGGAGATGACCGGGACAACGACCGGCGGAGGAATAACCGACCAAGGGAGCGGCAACCTGCTCCCGAAAGAGAGCACATCGGCATGATCTTCGGCGGACCCGAGGGTGGAGATTCAGTCGAGCAGCGGAAGAACTGGGTCCGGAGCATTTACGTTGGAGAGGTAAGTGCTGAACCGCCCAGGCGTAAACATACTAGGAGGGAGCCTATCGTCTTTACTGACCGGGATCTCCCTCCTACCGGTGAAGATCACAATGATCCATTGGTCATCACCATGGACATTAATGGGGTGGATGTCGCCCGGGTGCTTGTTGACACCGGCAGCAGTGTCAACATCTTATACCTGGAGACCTTCCAAAAACTTAGGTTGTGTCGAACACAACTTGAACCCCTCAAAACCCCTCTCTCAGGCTTCACGGGGGACACCGTTGAAGCTGAAGGATCCATAGTTCTACCGGTCGAACTAGGATCAGGTGAAAAGACCGTGTGGAAGAAGATGCGGTTCATAGTTGTGGACATCAAATGCGTCCACAACGCAATTCTTGGAAGGCCAGGCATCAATAGAGTCGGGGCGGTGATTTCCATGCCTCATCTATGCATGAAATTCCACACTCCAGGTGGTGCGGGTGAGGTGAAGGGCGACCAGAGGAACGCCCGGGAGTGCTATGCCCGGGTAGTCAAGAAGATGACCAAGGGGGTCAATGTCATCTCCCAAGAGATCACAAAGGGAGAGACCCGGGAGAAATTGGAGCCCGAGGCCGAGACGGTGGAAATCGAACTTCACCCGGGTGATTCTTCGAGGATGGTCAGAATTGGAGCAAATCTCCCCGAGGATCTCAGGGCACAGATTACACGGGTCCTCCAAGAATACGCGGGCATATTCGCATGGAGCGTGGCGGATATGCCCGGGATAGATCGCTCTGTTATCTGCCACCGGTTGGCCGTGAGGGAAGGAAGTCGACTGGTACGACAGAAGAAGCGGTACCTGGCCAGTGACCGGCGAGACTTCGTCAAGAAGGAAGTGAAAGACCTCCTCAGTGTTGGTCACATCCGGGAAGTCAAGTACCCGGATTGGCTGGCCAACGTTGTCCTTGATCCCAAGGGCGACACGTGGAGAATGTGTGTGGATTATACGGACTTTAACAAGGCTTGTCCGATGGATTCAAACCCCCTTCCCAGTCCAGATCAAATGGTGGACGAAACTGCGGGGTGCGAACTCCTAAGTTTCATGGATGCCTTCAAGGGTTACCACCAAATCTACATGGCCAAGGAGGATGAAGAGAAGACGTCATTCCTCACACCCGAAGGAACCTACTGCTATCGGGTAATGGCGTTTGGCTTGAAGAACTCGGGGGAAACCTACCAGCGCATGGTGAACAAACTCTTCAAGCCACTACTGGGAAAGACCATGGAGGCATACGTCGACGACATGCTGATCAAAAGCCAGGTATCTCTGAACCACCCGGCTGATATGCGAGCCACGTTCGATATCATGGCAAGATATAACCTCCGGCTGAATCCTAAGAAATGCATCTTCGCGGTTCGTACCGGGAAGTTCTTGGGATTCATGGTGACCAAGAGAGGAATAGAGCCCAACCCAGAAAAAATCCGGGCTATCACTGAAATGCAAGCCCCTACCTCCGTAAGGGATGTTCAGAAGTTGACCGGTCGTTTAGCGGCCCTCAGCCGGTTCCTTTCCCGGTCAGCTGAGAGATCCTTACCCTTCTTCAAAGTTCTGAAGAAGGCCAACACATTCGCATGGGACGAAGAATGCCGGAGGGCATTCAAGGAGCTGAAAGAGTACCTAGCGTCGGATATTGTATTGTCTAAACCCGAACCGGGTGAAACTCTGTATCTGTACCTGGGAATTTCCCCAAACGCTGTAAGCTCCGTTTTAATAAGAGATGATGGGGCACAAAAGCCCATTTATTATGTGAGCAAAGCACTAAACGGGGCTGAGAGTAGATATACGGCGATGGAAAACACAGCCTATGCGCTTTTCATCTCCACAAAAAAGTTAACATCCTACTTCCAAGCTCACCCGGTGGAAGTCTTGACTGACCAACCGCTGGGTGCAGTGTTGCGAAATTCAACATCCTCCGGGAGGATGGTGAAGTGGGCGATGATGTTAACTCAATTCCACATTGAGTACCGGCCAAGGTCAGCAATTAAGGGACAGGCCCTTGCGGACTTCCTAGTAGAAATGACCGGTCTAACTCCAGACTTACCGGTCAACAAGCCCACTGAGCAATGGTGGGAGATGGCAGTTGATGGGGCGTCCGGTCCTAGAGGATACGGGGGTGGTATCGTGTTCACCACCCCAGAAGGGTTCAAGATCTACCATGCAATCGTCTTCAACTTCAAACTGACGAACAATGAGGCAGAATATGAAGCTCTGGCTGGGGGGCTCAGACTTGCCCAAGCCCTGAAAATCAGACGGCTCTGTATCAAATCTGACTCTAGCCTAATCGTTGAGCAAGTGACCGGTAACATGGAAGCAAGGGAAGGACGCATGGCACAATACAAGGACCTTGTACTTGCCCTGTTGAAAGGCTTCGAAGAGTTCAAGATCGCCCAAATTCCCCGGGCGGAAAACGCGGATGTAGACCTTCTCTCCAAGTTGACGCAGTATGCTCCCGAGCATGTTTCAAAACTTGCCCGGGTAGAGATCCTTGACCGTGCAAGCATCGAAAAATTGGAAGTCGCCGCTATAACGGCTGGTAGCCAATTTGACCGGTCAAACTTGGTCGGGGCGGACGACCATTAGATGTATGATCTGATGGAATATTTGATGGATGGGAGCTTGCCAGAACAAGATGACCGGGCAAGAAAGGTGAAGCTCAGGGCACCCCGATTCCAAGTTCTTGATGGAAAGCTGTATAAAAGGGCATTTGGGGGGCCACTCCTGAGATGTCTAACCAACCGGGAGGCTGAGCGAGTCATCGCGGAGGTCCACAAAGGCGTATGCGCGGCGCATCAAATGTCCCGTACGCTTTCCCAACGCATCATCTTGTTGGGATATTACTGGCCAGCAATTGTCCAGGATTGTGAAAGGTACGTTCAGAAATGCCGGACGTGCCAAGTATTCTACAAGTACCCTGGTAGACCGGCGACCTACTATCACCCCGTATCAAACGTCATCCCGTTCGCTAGATTCGGGGTTGATATCATTGGAGTCTTCCCAGTCGCCCAAGGAGGGAAGAAGTTCGTAATCGTAGCCATCGATTACTTCACCAAATGGATCGAGGCCGAAGCGTTGGCCAACATTACCACGCAACAATGCAAGAAATTCATTTGGAAGAACATCATCACGAGGTTTGGAGCACCCATGAACCTCATCACCGACAACAGCCCACAATTCCGAAATCCGAGGTTCACCGAATACTTGGAGGGCTTCAGAATCAAGCACAATCGCTCCTCGGTAGCGTACCCCCAAGGGAATGGCCAAGTCGAAAATGCCAACCGAACAATTGTGGATGGTCTAAAGAAACGGCTAGGAGAAGCCGGGAACAAGTGGCTGGAAGAGCTCCCACACATCGTATGGGCATTCCGAGTAACACCCAGGAGGGCTCATGGGGAAACTCCATTCTCCCTAACCTATGGGTGTGAAGCAAGGCTGCCCATCGAAGCTGAATTCCCAACGTTTCGGAAATCAAATTATCAACCCCAACAAAATGAGGAAGATCACTTGGCCGAACTCAACTTAGTCGAAGAGCGGAGGATGGCCGCAGAAGTCAAAATGAGTACATACCAACAAGTTGTGAAGAAGTACCACGACAACAAGGTTGGGCCTCGGTACTTCCAAGTTGGAGATGAAGTCCTACGAAGAAGAGAAGTAAGTAGACCCGGCGATGGAGGAAAGCTGGCAAAAAACTGGGAAGGCCCATACAAGGTTAGAGCCATCATTCGACCAGGAACGTATCGATTAGAAATTTTAGATGGTGTACCGGTAGAAAGAACTTGGAATTCCCACCATCTTCGCAAGTTCTACAAATGATTGTAATACTAGGCGAGGCCTAACCACATTATCAATCAAAGCGATGTTCAATACTCTATTTGGTAGCGGCAGAATTGATAGGTCAAACCTATCCTACGAGGGCTTCCTGGGTGGATCGGATCCACTTGGATAAGCCAACTGAGACACAGGCCTGAACCTGGCACGCTGGTTACTACACCGGTCTTGCTCAGTATAATAGAAAAAATATTAAAACCCGGAAGAGGGGCCCGGAAGAGGGTATGCCTGCAAGAGGGCTGGACCTGGAAGAGGGTTCGAACCGTACTTACACGGGCCCATGAGATTTGACTTGTGTCGGGGAATCAGCCGGCGCCGTCAAATTGATTGGGGACTAAAAGATACCCATTAAAAGAAATAGAAGGGGATCGTCCACCGTGGCGCATCCTGTTTCCCCCTTCTCAGGGAAGACTTGAACGGGGGGGGTGAGCTAAGGCCTTCCCGGGATGGTAGGAATCAAAGGGCCATTAAGAGACTTAATCAACCGGAAGAGGGGGCCCTTGAAGAAGGGTGCATTTGGACCTTGGAGAGGGTTCGAAACCATTCGACATGGTTAAATCTCCAGTATTCTTACCGGTTAAGGATACTTCAAGAATTACTAGGTTACAGGTGTTTCCATCTACAACCTACCGATAAAAAAAAATACCCCGGTTGGGTATGGGCACAGCAGAACTTCGAAAGTTCTACACCCATCAGAAGGCAAGGCAGTTGACCGGTCAAACCATGGAATGGGAATTCACCGGTCAAAATAAACTCTATCAAAGAATTGGTGAAGCTATCCAAAAGGGCAAAGTAAAGTTTGGCCGATCAAATTTTTTAAGTTGGCCAAAATGATGAAGACGTTCGAAAAGCAAAAATTGAAGTCTGACCGGTCAAAGTTACTCGAGTTAATCCTTCAGATAAAGTGATCAAAGAGAACTTTGAAGTTCTCCCGGTCAGAAACAATTGGGAAGTGATCTGATGGGGCTACCGGTCAGAATTTATAAGAAGCAAGAACAAAAATATCAATCAAGAAACAAGCAGATATTCAAGATCCACCGGTATGGAAATTAAACATGGCATTCAATTAAGATGAAAATGTTAAGTGTTTACAGCTACACCGGGCATCCCCGGGGAAATTTCAAGTTGGGGTTTTACAAAACACAACTGGTCTAGGCCGAGGAGATCCTAATCTAAGGGGAAAGGGGGAGTAGGCTCTTCCTCTAGGATAGGAGCCAGGTCGTAGGAAGCCGCAGTGAAGGCCGGGTCTCTCTTCAGGAGGATCCGGTGGGAAGCTGCCCGGTCTTTCTTTTGCCCGCACTTGAATCCGAAAGATCCAACGGCGGTAATCATCTTCTTTCCTTCAGGCTCCCGGTATAGAAGCCTGAAGGATTCCATGGTAGCTTCTGGGCTCGCTGTCAGAACCCGGGTAGCTTCGGCCTTATTTTCCTCAACCCAGGCGGCTGCGCGCCCGGGGAAGTTTTCTTCCTTCTCCGTCATCTCCCTCTTGGCCTCAGAGACTTCATCCATGAGCCGGCCATTCTCCTCCTTCAGCTGGGAGATCTCGGTCTTCATGGACCTGGCTAGCCCCGACAGCCTGATCAGCTCATCGGTCTGGCTTTTCAAGATGAGGGCCATCTCCTCCTTCTCCTTCTTCAGCCGGGCAAACTCCGAGGGAGAGCCTAAACCAAGCCGGTCAGCTGTGAGGGGTCCAATCTCCCCCGCCTGCACAAAAGGAAAAATAAGCCCGGTAAGATTTTCGAACAATTTAACAAAGGGATCAAGACCAGGATAGCAGCAGAACTTACCTCCTTCAGCCTCAGCCCCAGATTGACGAAAGCCTCCTCGATGGTCTGGCCGGCCGGCTCAGGATCTGACCTTGCCCTCTTCTTAGCGTAAGAAGGGTGCGTGGTGGCCACCTTTTTCGTCCGACGGCCGGTCTTTTCCTTTTCCTTCCCCTTAGACCGGTCGTCTTGGGGCTCCTCTTCGTCAAGGATTTCCACGGTCTCTGGATTGACCGGGAAGGTCCTGGCAGTGTTGGTTTGGGAGCCCCCGGTCTCCCCCGCTGGTTGGTCGTCGGGGATGGCGAACTCCTCGAACTCCATATCTGAAAGAGAAGCTAAAATCGTTAAGTGCAAGAAGGAACACCGGTCAGCTACGAAACACAAGAAAAATGAGAAATACCTGGATGGTTTTGGCCCTCAGCCTCTGCAGTGTTGCCCGGGGAGGGTACCCCGTGCCCCGCTGCTTCCTGGGCCTGGGAGGTACCCTCACCACCCGACTCTACCCTCCAAACCCAGCTGCCTTGATGGAAGACCCTCCCGATTAGAGGATCCCCGCACATGAGGACCTCAAGGTTCGCTTCCAAGTCAGGGGAGGAGGCCGGTGCAGCGTACTCTTGATCGAGCAAATGGTCGTTCCAGTTCAGACCGGCCAAAGGAGTAACAAAGGGAGGAAACTCGATGAAAACAAATTTTTCCTTCCATCCCCGGTTACTCTGGGGGACTTCGGAAATGAACTTCCTACCGGTACGGGCTTTGAAGAATACAAAGCCTTCGCAGCCGGATCCGCCCGGTAGGACTTCGAAGCAAAAAAGGAAAAGATGCAAAGAGGGGAAGATTTTCAGATGGGTACAAATATTTACAAAGGAGTGGAGGTACCGGTGGGCGTTGGGAGTTATTTGACCGGGCAAAATCCTAAACGCGTGGCATACTTCGGTTAGGAGGGGGCGAAGGGGAAAAACTATGCCCGCATCCAGGGAAATGGTGTGGAATCCTATCCTATCCTCCCGGTGGGGTTCGACAATGTTGGGCCAGTTGGGTTCGTACGGGAGGGTATACCCGTCCGGGAGCCTCCTACGAATTTTGTTCAGGGGGATTTTGGATACACGGGAAGGGATGTCAAGGACGTAGAAGGTGGGAAGCGGAAAGTAACTGGCAGCATGAAGCCGCTCCTCCCACGCATCCCGGGTTTCGTGCTCAGGGTCATAGGGGCCCGGTTCGTCATCGACCGGGTCATCCCTCCCCACGAAAGTTTCACCGGGCACCTGATTTACAGGATGCGGGTCGGGAATGGAGTTGGGAACCTGACCGGGCGTGGATTCAGGAGAAGAAGACCCGGTCGAGGAAGATGAGTTGGAATCCTCAGAGGAGCAGTCCTCTAAGGACGAGATCCTATCGCTAAACGAAGACATGGCCTGGAAAGAAAAAAGAGAAGGAAGGGGGAACTTACTTGACTCGGAGGGCTGGATAGCGAAAGAGAAGGAACTTGACCGGTGAAAGCTCTGAGACGTGATCGCGGAAAGTGAACAAAGAAGAGGGGTGGAGGCCCTTATATAGGAAGAGGAGGGCTGAAAGAGGTGACGTGGCCTCTCCAGGTTGCGCCGCGTCAGGCGGCGCAATGATGATCCACTGGCAGGCGAAACGACGTGTCTGCAGCCGACTGATTGCAACGGTTGATGCGCGACACGTGGCAAAAGTCAGAGTGAAATTCAAATTTCAAAAATTTTAGGCGGGAAGGGCCAAAATTTCAAAATTGGAGTCCTATTTCAGACTTTTTACTTCCCGCTCATGACAAATTGCATGACCGAGAAGTGGAGGGCTTATTGATGGGTGTATTCCACCACGACCGGTCAAAGGAGAAGGCCAAATCTCTGACCGGTCAATCTCGAAAGTTTTGGAAGGGAGACATAAATTGTCAGCAAAACGATATATCATCGGCCAAAATATGACCGGTATACTTCACAAAAAAGTATACCGGTCAAACTGCGTTGTCATCCTATTTATTCCAGACTTCGATGAATTCATCTCTCGGAGATTACCCGGTGTAGTTTCTGGTGTTGAAAGTGTCGGCAGAAGAAGATCTGCGAGGGCTTGGCGTGTAGCGACCCGTGTCAGTAGAGGACAATTGGAGATGCTGAAGAATCCATCCAAGGCACTACTCGACAAAGGGAATGATCCCCCTCACAAGGCGACAAGGCATCTCGAGGACGAAACCAGTCACCTCGCACCACATCAGCAGCATGCCCCCACGTGGGCGCACGTGGTCTTGTCCCCCATAGCCTAGTATAAATACTTATGTAAACCTCAGAAAGAGGGATCCGAATTCATTCTCTCTAAACTCCCTTGTAAAAGCACCCGTGCATTCTCCGTTATAATATAAATTGGGCTCAGGTGTTCCACCTAAAGTCCTACCGGTCAATCTACGAGTTTTTACCTTTCTTACTTTGCAAAATCAAGCAAACTATTCTAGACCCGATCTAGCATAGTTTGACCGGTCAAGTAATTTACACCATCAAGGGGTACACCAAAGGTGTATCCCAATTGTCCCCCACCCTTTTCTCTATCACTCCTTTTAACCCCATTTTTATTTATTTAATTTTGTTTTAATTTCTTGCCCATTTTTGTGGTAATGGAGGGGTGGGGGACAAATGGGGTACACCTTTGGTGTATCCCTAGCATTTTTCTTAAGTTGACACAAATTGTCACGATGGTAATATTTTGTATTGATATTTTGTCTGGATAAAAATTATCAATCTCGATTTATATTAACCCAAAATATAAATGTAAACCTTTGAAGTAAATTTTAAGATAACATGGATTGGATACAAGAAGATTTTTTTTTTAAAAAAAAGCAATCGTGCCCTGTAATTCTATCCACCACTACATTTTCATTCAAACTAAAAAAATCTACTGTAAGAGCACTGGTAATATATTTGAAGCCCCGGGGCTTCAAACCGGGGCTTTAAACTTTCTCTCTCTGCCACGTCAGCTTTAACTTACACCTAAAATTCACTGGAAATGGTTTTGAAGCCCCGGGGCTTCAAACTAGGACTTCAAACCTTCATTTTTTACATTTTTAAATATACATCTTCTAAATTTAAATTAATAAATTTAAATTAATTTATTATTTTAATTAATCGCAATTACACTAGTGCATAAAAAAATTAAATTCATTATAAAAAAAATCTTACATTCATAAAAAAACATTCAAAAAAAATTACATTCATTTAAAAAATTACATAAAAAAACAAGAGTACAAAGAAATCACTAATTATTCGAACGACTAAAGATATGCTCGATCAAATCCGCCGTTAGTGCATTGTGAATCTCTCGGCTTCGAATTTCTTGGCGGTTGCATCGTTTCTTTTCTTCGGTGATTTCTTCGTACATAGGCACCTCCTCGTACGGGTTGTGTTGACAAATCGCAGACCCGTTATCCTCTATGATCATATTATGAAGAATAATACATGCGTACATGATATTCCTCATTTTTGTCTGAGAATAACATTTCGACGGACGATCTAGAATGTGCCACTTAGCCTTCAAGACCCCAAAGGCTCGTTCAATATCTTTTCTCGCCGCCTCTTGAGCTTTTTTGTAGGTTTGGCGTTTAAGAC